TTTCCCAGGCCTTCCCCTCCACAGATGATGATGCTTTTCTGACTGACTGTCGAAGTGTCATACTGTCATGGGAGTCCCTGGAGCAGCCTCTACCCAGGCTGTAACCATCACGAGGAACAGGAATTACTCCGTGAAGGAAGGGCTGGGGCAGGGCAGCATTTCAAATGTAATCACTTGGGTAATGATTAAGTTTTGCAACTTTCAATGAAATAGGGAGGGAAAGAGAAAGAATGAGAGGTGTTGGGCACCTTCTCCCATAAAGTCAGGTGCCCTTGGTCAGCACCTGGAATTGCAGAGGCCCAGAGAAATGAATCACCTTGGCACAGCTGAGTTCCAGGGGTGGTGCTGAGCATTGTGACTGGGATGAGTCATCCACTTCCCTTGTCTCCTCCAGCATCTCCAAAAGATAAGCTGTACACCTGCCTGACATGAAACCATACAAACTGACCTTCCAAGCTATTCTACCTGTTCCTCGGGTCAGAGCAAAAACAATCCTTAACACCACTGATTGACTCTTCCCTGAATCATGAACCAGTGGTGTATGTAGGGAGAGATGACAGCTCTCCCTGAAATTCATTGGGGTTGACACCTTGATCAGGTGCTTTATTGAACAGTCATTAAAACCATGTGGCCTGGGTCCAATTACTGTATACTCTTTGAATTTGTGGATTCAAGCTTCCTCATTGCTGAACACGTTTAGGCAGGTTCAGCAGCTCTATAGGCATCCACTTATTTAGGATATGTAAGTGGAGAGGCATGAACCTGATTCATTTCCTGATCTCACCCCAGGAAAGCTCTCCAGTTCACCCCCAAGCAGAAGCAGCATAGCTCAGATCGGCTCTTAAGGAGTTAGCAGTGAGCAGAGACACTCAGAGGTCTGACAGCCCAGAAGAGTTGGATACAGCCTCAGCCCCCTGAACGGGAGTCACAACGCGAGGACTAAGTAGGGAGGTGAGACCTGCAGCAAGATACTGTGACAAGAAAGGATGGAGAAGGAAGGATGGTTCTGACCAGATGAAGAATGAGCAGATGGACAAAGGAGGGACTCAGGTTAGGGGAGATGAGGATACACAGGGGTGGGGGAGGTAGAGCGAGGGACAGTGATGTTAAAGATGGAAGCATGAGATAGAAAAACAATGGGGACATGAGGATTTGGAATTGAGGATATGGAGGGGATGAGACACAGACACAGAAACATGAGGACACAGGGAGGACAAGGCCTGAAGAAGAGAAGAAAGATCAAAGAAAGAGGCAATAGGGACAGAATGCTGGAAGGTAGGGATACAAGGGGAATGAGGCCATAGATTTAGGGGATGGGGTCACAGTAGCTGTGGGCACACAGAGGGAGAAGAAGAGATGAGACAGAGTGAGGAAAGGAGACACAGTATGGTAAGCAGGGTCTGGCGGTGCACACCTGTAATTCAGTGGCTTGGGAGCCTGAGGCAGAAAGAATCACAAGTTCAAAGCCAGCCTCAGCAATTTAGTGAAGCCTTAAGCAACTTAGTGAGACTCAAAAATTAAAAGGACTGGGGATGTGGTTCAGTGGTTAGGAATCCCTGGGTTCAATCTCTGGTACCAAAAAAAGAAATAAAGAAAAAGAGAGACATGGTATGGTAGAGGGATTAGCTAGAATAAGCAGATAAAGGAAGGCAGTATTCTCAACTGCATACTTCTGAATACCTCTGCTGTCTGTTCCTAGCAAACCCAGCCTTCCATCCTGACAGGTCCTCTCAGGAGAGATGACACCAGCCAGACCAGGATTCTACCCCCTGCTGCTGCTCCTGCTGCTGGGACTGTGGGTACCTGAGGCCCCAGTCAATGCCAAGCCCAAGAACATGACCTCATCTCAGTGGTTTGAAACTCAGCACGTGCAGCCCAAGCCGCAAGCATGCAACTCAGCCATGGGTCACGTCAACAAGTTCACAAAACACTGCAAAAACCTCAACACCTTCATGCATGAATCCTTCTCCAATGTGGCCACCACCTGCCAGACCGCCAACATAACCTGCAAGAACAACCACAAAAACTGCCACCAGAGCTCAGGACCTGTGTCCCTCACCATGTGTACACTCACCTCAGGGAAGTATCCGAACTGTAGGTACAAAGAGAAGCATCTGAATGCACCTTACATAGTAGCCTGTGACCCTCCCCAGAAAGGGGACTCTAAGAAATTTCAGTTGGTTCCGGTGCACTTGGATAAAGTCCTTCCGGTTTCCAGACTTTCTGACTCTTTGGTTGGGTCTTAATTCCTTCTCCAGGCCTCTGCACCCATCCTCCTTGGCTCCTTCTCCACCCAGAGTGTTCTCTTCCTTTCATCTCTGAGGGCTCTTCCTGGTTCAGGCTCTTTGGAGAAGCTGACAGGGAGCTGAGGCTGATAGGTTGGTGGGCTGAGCTCCGAGAAGATGGTCTTTCATCTTTTAATTGCTGTTTTCCCAGAAACTTATCCCCAAGAGAGGGGGCTGAGCAAACTCAGGTTCATAGGTTCCCTGGTCTATACCTTTAAACTTCTCTCCCTCATCCCATCTTGTCATGACAGCATGATAAGAGAGGAAATAAATGGAGAAGGGGTGAATAGAATTTATAGACAGCTCTGTTTCCATTCCTAAACCCGAAGTCTTCCCAGCTCTGATGTGGGGGTCACCTGTATGGGGAGAGGGGGTCGGAAGGAAAGAGGAAGACAAAGAAATGCCACATGATATTTACATAACACGTCACACTTTTCACAATATATCCACAGGAATCCTGACAGGGATTGCTTGCCTCCTTTATGGACGAGGAAATTGAGATTGCAGAAGGCTTAATCAATTAAAGAGCTTGTCTGATTGGTTAGAAGCAGCACCTGGAATTGAAAATTGATGTCCTAAATCTCAACACAGTGCTACTAAACCAGTTGGGTATAAAAGCAGACCAAAACAGATACAAGAGGAGAAGTGGGTTAGAGTTCACCCATGCCGAAACGAGTACTGAGAGTCCTACAGAGCCAGTTACCCCGTGTTGGCTGCAATCAAGGTCATTACCTCTCCAGCCAAGAGATCTTTTTATAAGGTGCCGGGGGACCTTGATTCATTCTCTCTCTCCCTCTCTAACTGCCCCTCCCCCTTCTCAAGCCCACTGCTATTCTGACCTGGGCTCTGGGCCTAGTTCTGGGTAGATCCCTTTGGCCTGAAGGCATAGGGTAAGGGGAGTGTCCCAGCTTCATCCCTCTGTTCTGGGATCACATTTCCCTTGACCTTAAGGGACTTCCGTGGCCCAGAGCCTGCTTGTCACAAACAGCCTGGTGGAGCTGCCAGAGCTTCCTTCCTCGTGATAATGATCTCCCTGCCTCAGTGCTTCCCTGGCTCTCCGGGCTGGCAGCCTGCCCAAGACTGAGGGGCTGAGATGTGGAAATGCCGCCTCCTTGTCCCCCTTGGCTGCAGCCTCCAATGCTGCTTCTAGTGAACAGAGCTACAGATGCTCTGGCTTTATATTGGCTCAGTCCTAAAAGCCCCTTCTGCATTGCCTGCATCCCTGACCATCATCAGCCCCTTCTCTCTTCCTTCATCACAGTCCCAAACAAACTGCACTGTGTCCCCTGCCCACCCTGTTTCAGATCCAAACACACTGCTAGACCTTCCCAGAGGGTTCTACTCATCCCTCCCCAGCCCTGCTCCATCACTCCTAACCAGAACCCGAAAAAACTTTGGGTCCTGAAAGAAGTGGGTATAAATCCTGTCCCAGTTGTTCCTGGCTATGTGACCTTGAGCAAATTACTGAACATTTCTGCAGGTCTGTCCACAAAGCAAAATGGAAATCGTTTTACCTACCAAACAGGATGCAGGAAGATTTAGAAGTGATATTTAAGAAACTCTTAAATGGGTAATGGCAACGAGTCATAGTGGTGATAGTAGCAGTATCCACCTTTGACAAATAGCAGACCAGGACAAATACCCCAGGCAAGTCTCCCAAGGACTTTATTCTACTAAAGTAAAGCCCATGCATGGGTTAGAAGATGAGCCCTGAAGCAGAGTCCTGCTAGAGACCAGGGAGAAGGTAGAAGGAGGATGATCAAAAGAAAGGAGAGGCTGGGCGAGGTGGTGTATACCAATAATCCCAGTGGCTGGGAAGGCTGAGGCAGGAGGATAGCAAGTTCAAAGCCAGCCTCAGCAACTTGGCAAGACCCTAACCAACTCAGTGAGACCCTGTCTCTAAATAAAAATATTAAAAAGGGCTCGGGATGTGGCTCACTGGTTAAGTGCCCCTGGGTTCAAGCCCTAGTACCAAAAAGAGAGAAAGAGGGTGGAATAATTACAGCCTTGGGGAACAGAACACTGAACAATTCAGACAGAATGTGAGGCCAGTAAGTTGAGGAGTTAGCCTTCACAGGCTGGAAAGTAGAGGAGCATTAACTGCACATTGTGGCCAAATGCCACACAACTGAGTGTGAAAGTCTATATTTCCTGGAAACAGAGCATTGTCATCATAGAATGGGCTTCTGGAATACTCACATAAATCTGAAGTTTCATCCTAAATCCTTATTTTGTAGTCTTGTAGTCACCATACTATACATTTATCATTCTAAATAGATAATTTGCAACTAAAATGCATAAAAAGACAAGATATTTGTGGGCACCTGATTTTTTTCTCTTCGTTTTATTCTTTTTTCACATCTCTTTTTATATTCTTTACTGATGCTTGTTCTTATGGATATTATAGTTTTGTATATAGACATCCTCCTTACAAAATTTTGAACTTGTTAAAATTATGCTTTCAGTGCATCCTAACAGAATGAAAAGACATTCAACTGGGGCTGGGGATGTGGCTCAAGCAGTAGCGCGCTCACCTGGCATGCTCCGGTCACTGGGTTCGATCCTCAGCACCACATAAAAATAAAATAAAGATGTTGTGTCCACTGAAAACTAAAAAATAAATATTAAAAAATTCTCTCTCTCTGTCTCTAAAAAAAAAGACATTCAATTGGACTTCTTTCTTGACTCACTACCTAAATACTATTAAACACTTTAAAAGAATTCTAAGTGGGGCTGCAGTATACCTCAGCTGTAGAGCACTTACCTAGCATGCACAAGGCCCTGGGTTTGATCTCCAGGAACACACATGGGTGCACACAAGTGTGCACACATGCAAAAAACAAAAGTTCTAAGGTAATCTGTGGTGACAGAGGCTGGAATAATTACAGCCTTGGGGAAGTACTAACTGGGAAGTGGTATGGGGGTGTCTTCTGAGAAGATGGAGATTACAGTGTGAAAACTCATTGAACTGTACACTTAAGATCTGTGTGCTTTACTTTATGGAAGTAAATTAAAATCCTCCAAAATACATAGTTATTAAGGATTCTTAAGGTTGATTTATTTACATGATAAATGCTAATACACCGTTGTATTCTAAAAAGGTTATCAATGGGGTGCTCACACCTGTAATCCTAGAGACTCAGGTGTCTGAGGCAAGAAGATCAAAAGTTCAAGGCCAGCCTCAGCAATTTAGCAAGTTCCCAAGCAACTTAACAATACTCTGTCTCAAAATAAAACATAAAAAGGGCTGTGGATATGACTCTGTTGTTAAGCTCCCCTGGGTTCAATCCCAGGGACTAAAAATATAAAATAAAATATTATCATATAATTTAATCATAGATAGAATTACAAGATAATTTCTATTATTCTTCCATGTGCTCTTCATTAAATTAAATAGCACTTGTATCATTTATTAAATTGTTATAAATACTTTAGGCTCAAGAAGTACATAAAGTTCTTCCTCAGGTTATATAGCTAACATACTTTCCCCTATTATTTATATTACCTGTGAATTAATTTTGTCTTTTTTGATTATGTGAAAAATTTTAAGAATTATTTTATATATAATATTATTATAGGCTTTTACAGCCATTAATTATTAAAATAACTTTTCTTTTCTTTTTTTAATATTAGTTTTTTAGTTGTACACAATACCTTTATTTTATTTTTTTTTTTTAAAGAGAGAGTGAGAGAGGAGAGAGAGAATTTTCTTTTGATATTTATTTTTTAGTTATCGGCGGACACAACATCTTTGTTGGTATGTGGTGCTGAGGATCGAACCCGGGCCGCACGCATGCCAGGGGAGCGCGCTACCGCTTGAGCCACATCCCCAGCCCCATACAATACCTTTATTTTGTTTATTTGTTTTTATGTGTTGCTGAGGATCGAACCCAGGGCCTCGACTGTGCTAGGTGAGCGCTCTACCGCTGAGCCACAACCCCTGCCAAAATAATTTTTCTTATAATAATAAATATGTATTTATACTTCCAGTTGATGACAGATTTTCAAAACTTTTAAAAGTTCATAAGGGGAATTTCACTCCAATATCTCACCAATATTTCACCAATAGTTGAAAGTGACACTTTGATGTTAACAGTGAATCCAAATGTCCTGCCTTGTTCTCAAAACTGCTGTTTTAGCTCATCGTATCTCACAGTTACCCATTCCCTCAAATGATCTTGATCAAAGTCAAGTTTAGCTATGCCAGGTATAATGTTGAAACAGGCATTTGGCTAATGAAGTTCAAGATAAAAATAATTTGGGCCAAAAACCCAGATTGGCTGAACCTCGAAGCATTCTTACTTGAAAGTTAAAGAACGGAGGGGAAAGTTAAAGAAATGAAAAAGTAGACTGATGAGTTATGAAAGATTTCTGTTTCAGGGGTGGGATCCTGGAGGTGGGTGGAAGACAAGGGATCCAGGGGACTGAGACCCACCCTTGACTAGATAATTTTAAAGAAAATTGCTTCAATCTGGATCCAAGGAGCATAAATGAAGTCCAGTAAAGAACATGACCCTAGAAGTAGAGCAGAAGTGAGCTGGCTTTCCTAGGAAAGCAACTAACTATCTGAGACAGATTCGGTAGGAGACTTCTACAGCTCCTTAATTCCCAGAAATCTCCACATACTGCAGTAAAAGAGCCATTGACACTATGAAGAGAACTAACAGGATGAATGTAAAGAGAAGGCTTCTGACTGAAAGGGCAGGGTGTCGAAAGAGGAAATGCCCTTGAAATTGGGCCTCTTCTCGTCACATTGATTTCTTTGGCCCTTTTTATGTTGTCAGTGGCTCCAGGAGAGAACACTTGAGCTATGGTAGCAAAAAGCACACCAGTAGCAACACCCAGGGGTTTCTCTTTGGGAGAACTTTGACCCATTTCACCACATTTCTTCTGAGCTCCTGGATGACTGGGTTTCAAAGTGCTCAAAGACTTCAGATTCTCATTTTAAAGTCCTCCTCCTTCCCCCATTCCACCATGAAGAAGCAAAAAGAGGGCTGGGCTTGTGGCTCAGTGGTAAAGCCCTGGCCTAGCATATGTGAGGCACTGGGTTCCATCCTCAGCACCACATGAAAATAAATAAATAAAATAAAGGTATCATATGCATCTACAACTAAATATATTTTTTAATAAAAAAAAAAGAGGCAGAAAGAAGAGCAATTACAACTTTTGCCTAGGTGTTTACCTCCGGGAGACTCCAAAGCCAGTAAACTTGTAGCATCCATGAAACCACAGAAGCATGAGAAAGCCCACATGCTAGAAAGCCCACAGTTTACAAAGGAGAGGTAACAAAAGATATCACCAT